CTTCAGCAGTGGTTGTACCATTTTGTCTTCCCACCAGTAATAAATAAGAGTGTTTGTTTTCCTACAGCCTTGCCTGTACAGTGTGTTGTAAGCTTTTGAATTTTTGCCAATCTGATAGGTGAGAAATGATATGTCATGGTAGTTTTAATTTGCATTTCCCATACAGTGAGCAAAGTTAAACATCTTTTCTTGTACTTCAGGACGTTTGTTTCATGGGATTTTTAAAACCTAGCTCTTTCTTTATAATTTCCTGGCTGTTACCTTAGATCAGGCTCCTGTTACTTCATACCTAGTTTTCTGAAATAGTCTTCTAGCTGGTTTCTCTGCCTACTGCCTCTCTTCCTTTCAACTGCCCTGAACACAGTTAACACAGTTACCATATTAGTCTTCTTAAAACACTTCTTCAAGACATTCTCTCTTTATTTTAAAGAACCTTCAATTATTCCACCTTAGCCATAGGATACTTTTAAACTCATTAGTCCAAAATTCAAGATATGGTTTTCAACCATCTCTCTAAACTTCTGTCCGCCCCTTCTCTTAGATTTACTTATTCCTTCTGCAAAATTGGTATATTCAGTGCCCTAAAACCCATGGCAGAAAGTCTTTCTGACCTTTCTTCTTGCTAATGTCCAAGGTGAAAGTCCCTCCAGAGTGCAGCCCCGCCCTCTTGTCCGTCTAAATTCCATGCAAACTCCAAGATTCATCTCAAGTCCCATCTTTTTGGAAGCCTTCCTTCTCCACTTCAGTGTCCAGGGGTTCCCTCCTTTACTGAATTCTTTTGGTACAAATGTTTGTCCTCTTATTTGGCACTTAATCTTTATGGGCTTTTTCTTTTATTGCAAGTATTTAAAAATTTTAAATTTGTGTATATTTTTCCCCAAGAGTAGGGATGATCACCATTTTAATGAGCAAATATTAATGGATTTTCATCACCCACTTCTGAGCCAAGATAAAGGCACATTAACCTCTATTTTACTGATAAGGTAAGGAAGTAAAGAGATCTTCTGCAATTTTATCAAAATCAATCATTAAGTCAATGGTGAGGTAAGTATGCGCTCCAAATCTTTGCTGTAGTCAAGAGTCACGCTTATTACTGCATTCCATAAATTAAAACAGAAGAAAAAAAGTGCCTCAAAACATTAGGTAAAAATGACTTCATTTATTTATCCCCTTAATTAACGAAGAAATATACCTTAGAACACTTCGATTTATCTTAGTTAAATTTCCATTCAAGATACTGGTTAGAAAGACAAAGAATTTGGCATCAAATGCTCTTGGAACAAAACAGTATTATATAAAATGCTATCTGGTTTTTTTTCAGACTAATAAAGAAGAGAAATATAAGAGAGAACAGATTGGCGGTTGCCAGAAGTGGGAGATGGGGCGTGGGTAAAATAGGTGAAGGGAGTTAAAAATCACAAACTTCCAGTTATAAAATAAATAAGTCCTGGGGATATAATTTACAGGATATAATATAATGATGGCTATAATTAATAATACTGTGCTGCATATTTGAAAATTGCTAAGAGAGTAGATCATAAGATTCTCATCACAAGAAAATAATTTTGTAACTAGGTGAGGTGGTGGATATTAACTAGACTTATTGTGGTGATCATTTTGCAATATATACAAATATTGAATCATTATGTTGTACACTTGAAACTAACATAATGTTATATGCCAATTATACCTCAACAAAAAAAAGAAGAGAAATCTAACACCCTATAATAAAAACACCACTGTTTCCTCCTAGAATGTCAAATTCAATATTTTCCTCATGATAAAACAGCCACTTTTTGGTCATGTGTTTCTTTTTTGTCCTCTTTCTGGTCATCTTTCCTTAGAATAACAAATAGCTGGACCCAGGAGCTAGATGAAATCAGAGTCAATTGGGAATTTGAGTTCTTCTTTATTGGGTGTAAAAGATCTTAATCTATAGTTACACTAAATATCTGGAAAGGAATAAAAAACAGAAAGAAATCCCACTATTTCCAACAACTAATTATTACATAGTGTAGAGAAAATGTCTCAGAGTGACTGATCGCACTTTTCCTGACTCCTCAAGAGATCATCCAGCTCTGGTTCACAGATGAATCTATGTTATTTAAATGGAATGAAGTGGAGTGCTCTCCAAAGGATGATGTCCCTTGTCACAAGAAGACTCTCATGAAAATCTATGGTAAATTATTTATATTTTTAAAAATTTGTATTCGTATCTTATTAAAATTATGAAATTTAATAAACGACTTCCTCTTCAAATCTCACTTACAGTTCTAATATTCCACAAAAAGATCATTTGTTTCTGTACCATACAATTTCTTTCCCTTCTTCTTGGCCCGTAAACAAAGTTTGATTTGACACAACATCATATATAAATCCCTGTGTATCCTGAGCCATGCATCTCTGCTCTGAATTTGGGCAATTCTCAAATTCAATTCAACAAACATTACTACCTTTATTGTAGGTTTATTATATCCTAGGCATGCTGCCAGTTCTTGTGGGAGCAGCGTGTACAAGTCATAGAGCTTTTCTCAAGCAGTTTAGTGTCTAGGCAGAAAGATGTGTATGCACCAAATATTACACAAACCAGTTGTATAAAGTATTATTGTTGGCCTACAAATGAGGAGAAACGAGAAAAAACAAGGGGAAACAAGAAAAGAGAGAATTAATTCTACTGGAAAGAACAAGAAAGGCTTCAGAAATAAGAGCATAATTGAGTTCAGCCAACGCAATCCAAAAATACACAAGTCCAACATACAGAGATTTTATAAATTAACAGGAAGTTTAGAATTTAAAGTTAAAAATTAGCACCATTTAGGATGTTCTAGTCACCCTCTTCTGTGATCCCACTGAACTTTGTACCTCTCTCTACTCTGGCAGGTCGCCTTGTAAAAGATTTGATTCTAGGTGCATCACTTGTGACAGCCAGAGAGGGCCTTGCAACAGGCTCCACAGCCACATCAACTATGAATTCTCAGTGCCATGGTGAGTGCTCAACGCACTGAAGATGAAGTTTCTTAAAGGAGTGAATGAACTAAATATTTCAATGGCACTTTGTAAAGTGAAGCAAACTTTCTAATTTCTCTCATTTTGCAAGTTGCTTCTTTTGGATTTTGAGTCCCCAGATGACCAGGGTCTGCTATGGAATTCACTTTCCAGTGGTTACACCTCTGTCTCATCTTCAGCCGGGTCAGCTAAGGGAAAGGTGGGCACAGTGCAGATCCCTAGTGATCATGGTTGTCAGCGTTCCCACCTCCATGCCAAGATCCTCACTGATCCTCAATGAGTCCACACACATTCCTACATCTCTTTAAACCTGAAGGTCAAAATCTCAGGTTTAAGGTTTTACAGACAGACAGACAGACACACACACACACACACACACATCTCCGTGATGCACAAAGATGCTAGCATGGACATACAACCCACAATAACAAAGGTGCAAAAGGAGAGCACAAAAATTAGCTGAGATGTGAAACCTAATGGGCAAGTGTGGTCTGAAATGGGCAAAAAGGGAAATCAAGAGAGTGAAAACATTGATCCTTGTTCCCTGCTAGAAAGAACACCTCCTATTGCTTCACGAGAGACACTGGAATTTGCCTATCTTTTAAATTTTAGTGCTTTTATTACTTCTGTTTAGGTCTATTTTTGCTTCCCAGAAAATTAGCAATTTTATCCTCAAATCTCTGATTCCAAATGTTACCTGTTTCTTAAGTGCAACTTCATTATTATGTTTTATTTTCCAGTAATATATGCCTCAATTCATAGTGGAGGACAATGGGGGAATGGTATTCAAGCTCCTAAAAACTCTATTTTGTAGTTACAGACATTGTAGAAAATATATCTTTTCCATTTAAGACAGAGAGAGATGGTGACAACCCTCAGATAAATTATAATTCATGTACAATATTTAAGAATTAAGGAAATCCATTAAGTAAAGTCAATAAAATGTTCAATTAGCCCTGGCACAGTCTAACCCCTTGCAATTTCATGAGTGTTTCCTGAAACATTGGCTTTGTTGGCAGCTTGTTAGAAATGCAAATTCTCAGTCCCCACCCTAGACCCATGAATCAGAATCTGCATTTTAATAAATCCCCAATACGATTTGTGTGCACAATAAAGTTTTAGAAGCATGGATTAACCAACCACAGGGCTTCAGGAAAACTCCATGAAGAGAAATTATTCCATCCATCTTTAATTTAGGTTAGTTTCCTTCCAAAGATCCACAGACCCAAGTGCTAATTATTTTCAATATCTAGCCGAAATTTACATTAACCTACATTCTGGGAACTTGGTGGCCTCCCTAGTTTTCATTTAATGTCCAATCCAATGGTGCTGTGTGCTACAGACTGTCCCTCTCACCCCCTCCACAGGAGAACCATAAATGTGAGAAGGGAAGAAAGGAAGAGCCAATGGTTTGATTTAGAGAATTACATGGAAGACTGACACGTGCTTTTCATTGTTTGATAGGGATTTCAAACTGTACTATCACCATATTGCTTCCTTCTCAAATGACTGTTTTAGTTTCCAAGCAATAGATCATTTTTGCAAAGAAAAGTTCCCAATCTCCTGACAAGCTTTTGTGTTTCACATACTGAGTTAGAGTAATTAGACATTTCTTTGCTTGAGTTTATTTCTCTCCCACCATTGATCATCTTCAAATTTGTCACCTTGAGAAGCTAAGGAGAGGCTGAGTCCCAGGCACCCTGAAACATGTTGCTATAGGTATCCCCTGCCAACTAGCTAACAGCCAGAGGAAAAGATGTCCTTTCCTAAACTTGAGTTTCACTGGGTCAAGTGACCTATCCATTGTCTCAAAAGGGACAGTCTCTCACTGTGACCTTGTTTGAATAGGAGTGAGCCTACTTAATGGATGTTGATGATGACACTGATGGTGACAACAATGACAAAAGTTCCTACTGAAGCAGTGACAGCATGAGGATGTGCGGAAAAGGATACAGCTATTTCAAGTTTTTGAGTAATAAAGGAAGATGACATACCCAAGCTGCACCCCAGGCATCCTTCTTCACAAGGCACGCATTCTTCATAGTCTGGGTCTTGGACTTCACCTATATAGTGAGAGGAGTGGAAAACACAATTAATTTTAACTGAGTGGAGACACATGAATTGCTATGAATATATGTGGGTGCATAGCTTATTTTCAGGCAAATCATAGAGGAATTATGAAACCCAAAACTATCCTTGAGAATATACATATCACGCATGTTTTTATCTCCTTCTATTAATTTAATAGATTGAATCAGTTTGGGTACAAATAGAACAAAGTTGGACTCTGCCATGCAACTACTTTTGAAGTCAAGCTGGTAGATTTTATTTATTAAATAAATTCTGCTTCTGGGAATACGGACTTGGGTATATAAATGATGAAGCTCTGTCTCTTTTTATCAGTCCTCTTAAACACTTTTTTAAAAAGTTTTAAATCCTACAATACATTATTAGACATTAAGAAGAAAAAGGAATGAATGTATTAATTACTCTAGAAACATCTGGGAGCTCTCTTCAGCACCAGATCAGGCATAATTCTGATACAGAGTAGAAAAAGTCTGCAAGATTCTTATATGGGAGATAACAAAAGCTGTAAGTGCTGTTTTTTAATCTTCCTCTTCCCATATAAGATAAGGAACTGGGCAATAACAATAACACATGTGATTCACAGAACATTTTAATATTTCCAAGTAGCTTTAGGAAGGCTGATTTTAAGTGGCTTCTCACAGAAACCATCTTGGTGCTATACTCTCCCTTTCACAAATGAAGAAACGAAGGCATGAAGAAATTAGATTAATTTTGCTCAGGGTCTCATACTAGTAATTCGGAAAGAGAAAATTGTTGACCAGGACTTTTGGATTCTAATGTAATTTTCTCTCCACTATACCCTGCCCACAAACCCTGCACTCAAGATCACTTTCTATGTGATTAGCTGCATCCCTGTGTCCTTGGATTGTGTCTGGGGGAACCCCAAGAAAAGCTGTGTGGGGGAAGAAAGAGGGGCAGCTTTCACTGTCCCCACTTGACATATAGAGTCACACAAAGTCATCCCCAGATGCCGACATTAAAGCCAGAAAGGCAATTCCAGTCTCCGGGACATCCAGGGGTACAGCTCCTCATGCCGCCTCCTGGTACAGGGCAGTGGCCCCAGAGCAGCCTTACCTGGTCCACACTCTACCTTCTGGCAGGTGTGGTTGGTGGGCACCATGAAGTAGCCGCTCACGCATTGTGTGCAGATGTGTGCGCTGTGGCAAAGCTCACAGTTGTCTGGGCAAGGCAGGCAGGCATGCCCCTTGGCAGGGTAGTGGCCCGCTGGGCAGCTCTCCCAACACTCCCCCTGGTACAGGAAGCGCTCCTGGCCATGCTTATCTGAACACACAGAGGGGCAAGCAAAAGAGGGAAAATGTACCACATTAACCATGAAGCTAATATAACCTCAGATGTTTTATTTTAAAAAGATATAACCGAGTGCTTTGTCTCCAAGGGGACCAGGAGCATAAGAATGGATTTAATGAAAAGTACAATATCTTTATACTTGTAGTTGAAAAGTTTTGCTTGTAGGAAATCATTTTCCAATATTTTGTATATAAGTGAATAGCAACTACTATCTGGGATGTCACTGCAAAAGCACCTACCATGCTTTGTGGACAACTCAAGTCAGAATGTGGGGAACTTTCCCAAGGGCTCCTTTCCATGTCTGTGGAAGCTAGCAGACTTAGGGGCTACAGAGATCCCATGAGAATAAACAAATGATTGCTAACAGACACGTTTTTATGACAGCGCTATCTTTTAGAATGATTTTGAATTCTGTTATCAAAATCGCTCGCTTGTGTAACCATCTAATTGGCACAGCTGCCAATTCCTATAACGACAGCCTACTGAAGCGTGAGACCAAGCACACCTCTCTGACTCCTGAAAGTTCCTGAGCCTCTGTCAACATTGGACTCTACGAGGAAAGAATCAGCGGTACCCCGCCGTGGGAGACTATGGGAATTTGTTCCTGGAAGGAATGGAAAATGCTAATCAATTACAAACTATCACAAATAATGAAAAAGGATTATGATCAGTTACAAATATATATATATATATACACATGTATATAAACAGGATTAAAATAGATGCACCTAGAGGTCTCTGACCCCCACCCTGCTGGAGATTTTGTTCGTGCCAGCTGTGTTTAGGGTATACATCTTCTTCAGGTCTCTCAGGTGCCCCTGCCTCTGAAGAGCAGCCCATCTGTGTTACCCGAAATGACTGGGGTCCAGTGTTCACTCAGCACGTGACCTACCACATGAAGATCCAGAACCACTGAACTTCAAGATATAAGGCTGCTGAATTTGTGGATAAAGATAGTACTAACCCCATGTTTCAAGTGTAGAAACTGAAAGTCAGTATAATATTAGATCCAACCCCATGAAATTGCCAACATTTGACTATTTTTTTTGCCCATAAACTTGGTGCTCTCAAATGGTCTAACCTAATGTTTCTTATTTAATTAAAGCCCTAGTTCAAATATAACTTAAAGAGCACACCCTTGGATTATGGCTCTGAAGCTACCTCTTTTCTGTTTGTGATTTCATGCTGGAAGTCTGCTGGTTCCATGGGACAGAGAAAATAAAGAGGGCTTCCATAGAGGTGGGAGGAACAGTGTCTGCTGTCTCCAAGCTTGACTTAAAAGAGCATTATCCTCTAAGGGAAGGAGAGTGTTGGAAGGATGTAATGTGCATTTGGGGGTTTTACAGCTGTAGGTCAATGTTGTGGAGCACAAAACCCTGATTTGGTGGAACCTGGAGTCTCAGAAACCCACAGAGGATCAACCTTCCAAGTTGTGTTCTTCTCAGGCACTTTATGGAACCCTAGAAAAACTCATTTGCACCAAGACTCATTCAGAAAGGATCCTGTCTTTCAGAGGGCAAACTTCTTAGCCGTAGGTAGGAAGATCTGAGGGAGAGCAGGGAGAAGCTTCCCCCCTCCTCCATCCAGCAGTCACACCTTTACATGACATCAACTCAGGCTGCAGAGGCTGGGGGCAGCTTGGCCTATAGTGAGTTCTAAGTGCATATTTGGTGAGTGAATGAATGACTTTCTGCGAGCGAGTGAATTAATATTTGGCAATGTTCTTACTTTTCCAACATGTCCAACTGGATCAACAATCTTAAAAATTAATAATGATGGGTTCAGATATCAGACGAAGTGTTCTCCAATCCATTTTTATCTTTCAGCTATGGCTTTATTAGTTGGACCCCTTTAGGTATTATAATTTGGATTTGAAGGACAGAAATTTGAAGGGTCTTGGTCTTTAAAATACACCAACCCTGCAAAAGGAGGTCGTTTATATGCCTTGACTATGGCCCACTTTTCCTACAGATTTAATCCAGGATTACACCAAGATTTGGTCATATCCTAATAGCCTGAGGAGTATGGCAGCTCACTCAGTTTTGGCTGATAATTTGGACACCCCATTGATTTAAATACCATGCATAAGTTTTTGACTACTTGCCCAGATTTTGGAATTTAAATTATTGTAATGATCTGAAGGAGACGCTGGTTCTAGTAGAAGAAGGGTTGATATTTTTATTAGGTGCCAACTCTTCCATGTGATAATATGAGACAAGAGTTAAAATGTAAAGAACTCCAAAAGAGGTTCAGGTTGGATTTCATTTATAGTGAAGAGTAATTAACCATTTTCAGAGAATTTCTTGGCAGCTGCTTTTGTTAGAAGAGAAGGCAGACCAATGTGAAGACCTCAGATGTCTGCAGGAGGAAAGGAAGGATGAGGGTGGAAGGCATGAGCGGAAAAGGATTGCTGGAAGGGATGAAGGAAAGAAAGGCTGAGGGACTCTGAAAGTAAATTTGAAGCTTACTTCACCCTTTTGCTTACTGTAGTGTTATGTGATTGGTAAAATTTAGCTTTGGTAGAGGATAAATCTGGAAGAGAATTTAGAGCGAATCTTCACCAACATTATTGGAGAGCTGCATTTCCAAAAGAATTCAGACCTAAATCTTAACAAAATGACAATTAAGCAAGGGGCAACATTTCTACAAACTGATGGAAGAGGCTTACGGGTGTAGAAGGGACTCCCTAGTCTTTTCCAGAGGATTCCCAGCCTTTTATTAAAGCCTGTTGATGTGGAACTACATCCATTCAATCCTCCAGTTTCTTTAGCCCTGTCGCATGTATTATAGCTGTGCTAATACATAAACTAGGACATCGTTCTCTTAATAGGAGAGACCCTGCTAATCAGAGCTTCTCAATGACACCCTCTCCAGGAAGCCTCCTCTGCTCACTACAGCTGAAAGTGATGTTTCTTCTCTGACCTGCAGCTGGATTCCTGCTATCCATTTGGTCTTTAATGTCTTCTTGTTTTATAACATGAGGACACACCCCTCCTTCAGACTGTAAACTCCTTGAAGCAAGTATCATGCTATCATTTATTGCATTTTCCATGGCAACTACGTATAGTAACTTGTACATGGAAGGGGCACAATAAATTTTTGTGAAGATAATGGATTAAACACATACTTTCCAACAGAAAATACAGAAGAATTATCAAAACATTTTATGTGTGGATTGGTCCAACTGGTTGTGGGATGCCTAGAACATTTCAGACATTTGTTTAGCATCCAAGCTATTCCTTAATTTTGTACTACGGATGAAGATGTAGTGTGTTCTAAATGTGAAAGAGATTTTGGATGCCGCGTTGTCTATGCTCCCTTTTTTTACAAACAGGGAGAGACAGAAAGAGGTGAAGTGACTGGTTTATTATTCAAATGCCCACAGGAGCAAGCAGGTACAAGCAATAACAGTAGTAACAGCGATAATAAGAAGAATAGATAAGAGTGCTTCCTATGTGCCCGGTCCTGTTCTAAGTGCTTTACTATTTTATCTCATTTAACTTTCATAATAATCCTAAGAGGAGGCAATCATCATCATCATCTTACAGATGAGGAAAGGAACAGAATGAACAGGCTAGAGATATTTGACATAGATATACTTTGTTTACATAAGAAACTTTTAATTTATGCAAAGAAATGTGTTATCTCCCATTTTTCTGCAAATGCATGACACTCTCAATTTGTTCTTCACTTTTTTGGTTTTATTATAAGAAAGAATAAAGATAAATAATTCTCTCCCACCAGAAAAACCATGTAAGCATCACGGCCATGGTAACTAACAGCCTCAGGATCTGTGAGACAACTGGGAGTGGTGGGTACTATGGAGAAATGGAAAGCAGCCTCCTCTGATCTCCATTCAACCATTTGGAGAATGTAGGCCCAGTGTTGTCAGATCTTCCAAGTTTTCAAGAGAAACAGAAAACTCAGGTTTTATTTGAAATTTTCCAATTTGTAAGTTTGGTTCAAATTTTAAAAATATCACGTAGTTCAAATAAAATGTGACTCTGTCCCACATGAAGTCAAAGTGGAGGACAGGCATGTGAAGGGATGCTGGAGAGGAGTCAAGGGTCAGACCACAGAGGACCTTTGAGATCACGGAATATAATGCAATGACAGCAGAAACTTTTAGAGTTGTTAACACTAGGACAGAAAAGGTCATATTTGTGTTTTGAAACTATTACTTTGTTCCCACAGGGCTCTGACAACTTCTAAATGGCATAGCTCAGGGCTGAGGAGACACTGTCACAGACTCTATTAAGATATTTCTCTTAAAGACTGAACGAGTCTGCCTTAATTTCCTGGCTTTTCACTTTTACCTCAACCAGTCTTAGCTTTACTGTCTACTTTGTGTCTGCATCATGTTTGCCCACCCTTTCTTTCTCTTTCTCTAGAAAGACATCTCTTAGCTTCTCTGCATCTCCTCGGGGGCAGCGAGTCTGTGTCCACAATAACGTGAACTTGTATCCTGACAACAGGCAGAAACGTCAAGGTTGTACACACTCTCTAATGGACAGCTGTCTAATCTCAAGCCCTCGTCCCCAGAGATGAAGCTTCTGAGTCAAACAAAATACGCTTCAGCGGGAAAACAGGTTTGAACAAGGAAGGACGAGCGAGCAGCAGACTCCCTCACCGACTCCACAGGAGGTGCAGTTGGAAGGCTCGTTTCCTCGGCATTCTCGGCAGGTGTAGTGGCATGGATGGCATTGGCTCTTAAATTCAAATTTGCCTGGGGGACAGTTCAAAATGCAGCGGCCATCATCAAAAATCCTAGAGGAAAAGCAGACTTTTAGAGTTTGTAAGGGTGACTTTCTGGAATAATCTTAAGTATAGAACATGTGGTGTTCGTGTTTTGCTGCACAGACTTGGTTTCATTGTTCCAGAAACAAGGGGAATGTCTGGGACTGATCATCGTAGAACGTGTGGAATATTAGTCACATACCCATCCTTGCCCTGAGGTTTGGACCCAACAGCAGGCCTGCCAGTAACTGGCTGGGGATGTAGTCTTGATTCTGCTTCCAAACAAGCTAACTGGTGCCTGCAGGGATTAAATCCATATTGTAGGCCCCAGCCAAACCCAGCCAATGGTCAGATGGAGGTCTTGACCTTTTAAGACACTGAATGGGCTTTTTTTTTTTTTTTTGGTGAGGAAGAATGGCCCTGAGCTAACATCTGTTGCCAATCTTCCTCTTTTTGCTTGAGGAAGATTGTCATGAGCTAACATCTGTGCCGATCTTCCTCTATTTTGTACGTGGGATGCCACCACTGCATGGCTTGATGAGTGGTGTGTAGGTGTGCACCCAGGATCTGAACCTATGAACCCTGGGCTGCCGAAGCTGAGTGCATGAACTTAATCACTATGCCAGCCCCCGAATGGGCTTTTGAATCCAGGGGCCTTGGAGAAAATACCCTTCTTTTAGTTGTCAGCATACCCATACTTCACAAGGGAAATGTCGACTCCAAGGGCTCTTGAAGTAGTTTAGGTGCTACTTATAAACTTGGCCTGTGCGTGTGGCAAGTAATCAGTGAACTCTGATTTTGAGCGTCATTTTTGCAAGTGTTTCCTGATGTACCACAGTCTCTCTTTTCTGACCGTGTTTGCAATCAACTACAAGGACACTGCAGATAAATTAGCATTTGGGCTTCTAAAACTTTTGATTTTATACACATACAATATCTATCATAATGCCATTGTTAATATTTTCATAGTTTTGCTTCTTTTTTTCCCTTGCAAACTAACCCCAAGAGCAAATGAGACTAAGTAAATTGTATCCAAGAACTTTGCTCAGAAAAATGCAAACTCTTTGCCAAGTGCAAGAGTCAGATAGGTAATGTGAATAGATGAAGTGAGCTGGGGTCTGCACCCCCACAATTCCTAATTCAGTGGGTCTTGGGGGCAGAGAGCTGAGAATTTGGATTTTTGACAAATTCCTGGGTGATGCTCATGCTGTCGATCTAGAGAACACACTTTGAGAACCGCTGTTCCACCTTCTGTTCGCTGACAGTCTAGATTACTGTGGAATTCGCGAAATTATTCCTAAGTAATGCAGGTGGTGCCAAATTGGTGTCTTCTTTAGAATAGTAGTTATTGTATCAGTTCTGAAGTTAATTGAGCATGTAGTACACACGTGCCCCCGAGGGCATACTGCCGGCATCCTGGCCTGGGAGAGCTGAGGCCTGCAGACAAAGGCAGGGCTTCCTTCTCTCTCTCCCACCTCTCTCCACTCAGGCCCGACATCACATGGAAGGCAGGTGTGGGCTTTGCACAGCTTGCTCCTGGCGTGGCACTGGCTTGTCTAAATCCCACTGTTTCCAGAGCTGGGGCCAGCCCTAAACTGGGGAAAGGCATCTTAATTCCAGGTTTGGACGAAATTGGGGTGGGGGCAAGGCATCTTGAAGGGTGTGTTGCTTAGGTCTTCCATCTCCTTCCCACCCTGAAAGTCTGTGTCGTTTGCATCTGCTGGAAACAGAATGGGGTTAAAGCCAACAACACAAGACAAAAGGCCACCTCTTCTTGGCATCTCAGCCCCTCAGGTTCTGGTCACCACACCCAGCACTCCTGGAGCAAACAATCCCTTTGGCCCACTGCAGAGCATGGAGTCCCAGCCCTAAAGAGACACACGCCCATCTGGTTGTCCACGTCAAAACAGATCCCTGCGCCACGGCGGATAATGAGATGACTTTGCGTCCAGCCCAGACTTTTCGCTGATGGCGCTAATGCCAACAGGGAATATCCCGGCCGCACCCTGGCTCTGGTTTCTGAGCTAGAAGACTTTTCAAGGAATAATTGGGATGTGGCTAGTTAAAAAACAAAAACAAAACAAAAGCCTCTTTAAGAAAAACTGCGTAAGAGCTTTCTGAGGTTTTTAAACAAGGAAGCTCCTCGTAGCTCTGCTGAAAAGGAGAATGGGGCATGTTTACTTGTGAGGGTTCGTTTTCTTACTAAATTCAGTCGGAAAGGAATGGAAAGTACAACATCATTTTGTTATTTATAGAAATAGATGACAGATTGGTTTAGAGGGAAATTATTTCTCTTGAGAAAGGCGATCTAATACCCTCAAGGATGGGAACCATTTAAAACCATCCAGAAATTGGGGGTGTGTCAGGGTGAAACAGATTTTGTAATACCGCCATGCTTATGTAGCAAAGGGGCCGCCTTTCTTACTTGAGTGCCTGATTTTAAAGAAGTACAAGCACATAAGTGTGCTTTATTTAAACACCTCCCTTCACTTCTACACTAAGGAAAACCTGGGTGACATACCCAGTTTTCGTAAGAACATGATTCTTTCTAAAGATCAAAAGATAGGGAAACCAGTCAAGCTTAAGTGAAGGCACTGAATTATATTATTCCCTTCACCCCCTTCCATCCGCCTCAAGAAAAATTGCCAAGGAACTTGAAGAAAAGTACCACTTCGAGTGGCATGGATTTCCACGAACACTAACAAACCTTCCCTACTGGAAGAGGATAGATCCCTTGCTCTGGGCTTCAGGGGACTGATGAAAATTTTCTTTAAAGACGACTCAAGCCATCTCTGGGCCCACCTGTCTTCCAATTTGTGGATTTCTGAGACACTCGGGCAAGCTAATCTCTACAGGAGAAGCACTTCTCTCCTCAAGGCACCCGTGCTCTTGGCATTTTCATAAGCAGCGAACCATTCCGCCTCCAACGGGGCTCATGAAAAGGAAGAAAGTGGCAGAACCAAGTGCTAAAGAGCTGGGCAGAGGTGCTTTTCTTGACATTGGCGCTGAATATTCCAGGAACCCCAGGCTGTGTGTGATGTGAACTGGACTGGAAGAGATGGCACGTCAGGGTTAGCTGGTACTTTGTGCTGGTAGTTGGTTTGGCCCACCTAAAGTCATCACAAGGCCACTTAATGTAATTTCTTGGTACATTAAAATGTTGTAACAGAATGAAATCTGGCGAAAAGTCTTTTTTCCTGAATTCATCAAAACAGATCAAATAAAACATTTGAGGGTGGGTCAGAACAGAGGGACATTTTAAAAGTTTTTAATTAGGTCGTTGAGTCTGTAACTCCTTTAGGACTGAATCGGGAAGTTATGAGGACCGCAGCATTGCAGAGTATACGGGTTAGCTGTGGCAAAGGGGGCACATAATTCTTCCAAGTTTTCAATCATCTTTAAGGAGCTAAACCCAAGGGTGTATGCAAATGTACAAGGAAAAATGGAAGATGAAGAGAGGGCTTTTAAAATTTTGACTTCTTTTACAACAATTTCAGGGTAAATTTTTTTTTTATTTTATGATGGAAAAATTTAAACATATATACAAGACCATCCCCATGTATTCATCACTCAATTTCAACAGTTATCGACACATGGCTACTCTTATTTCAGCTGTATCTCCATTAATTTACTGCTCTACAATATTGTTTTGAGACAAACCTATAAGTTAAATGTTAACATTCCTCTCCCAGGTAGAAACTCCTTTAGGGATGATCTTTACTCTACCAAGACTAGAGATATCCGAAGGTTTGAGAATAGGAAGAAACTCAGAGAGACCCACTCTCCTGGTTATTATCCATCTCCCCTCACCCCTTACTCTGCCCCAGGTCCATTTCCACCATTCTCTTTCGTGCTGGGTCCTGGAGGTGTGCCCACTTGGGACTGTAGCTCCAAGCTCACTTTGCTCACTTGTAAGTTGTGTTTCCCGTTGGCCTCTAGTTAGTTTCAGACAAGGGGAAACACCAGCAGGAGATCTGAGGGAGGGAGGAGAGAGATGCTGGGGTATTTATTCCTCCCAGAGCCACAACTCTGCTTCCTCCTTCCACGGTTCGGGAGGGGCTGTCTCCTACCGCTCCAGTTTCTGTCAGGCATCCCTGCTTCTACGGTTGAAGCTTTTGCTTCAGGTCTAGGGCGTTAAAGCCACCCCACTATGCTTGTCCCTGAGTGCTTCACCATCCCTTGTCTTTGCCCTCCTGAGTCACCTGTAAGAATTTCTGGACCTTGCACCTAACTCAGACCTGACATCAAGCAGGTGCTCAACACTGTCTTGAATGGATCCAATTCCACTGAAGAAAGTACTAAGGAAAAGACTTTGCTGCCCTTTCAAGAACTAATAAGTCAACATGACCATCTTTCAAAATAGTTTCTTTCTCCTCATTTTCTCGGCCCTGTTCCAGGAAAATGCAGATAATCAGGGAAGAGAGATGGGGAAAGAAGTGGAGTGCTCAGGAAGATGAGAAGAAAATTATTCTTGGGGAACAAGATTTCCTTAGGAGGACACTCTGGTTCGAGATCCACATATATGCTTTTCTTTCTTCAAAATCTAAAGGACTACTTAAACAAGTTAAACTACCTAAATAGCCCAGAAAGTGTACCTCTGATCCTGTACCAATGGGCTTAAATTCTTTTAAATGGCCATTTATGGTAGTAAAATATTTTTCTCACTTCTGCTGAGCCTGCTGAGTAAAATATTTTTCTCACTTCTGCAATGTCCTTTGAATGATGGTAGCTGCCTTATTAAACAAATGCTAAGATATTCCCTTAATTCAAAGATATCCAAACACACAAAGGGATTTGATTGTTGTTATGATGAGGTGTTAGAGGAGAAACAGAATCCACTTTTGGAATGCTCTCTGTTTCTAATAGTATGCTCTGAAGCTGCTTTAAAACAAATTCAATATTTAAAGGCACAGATATTGGACCCAGCTCAGTGGCATAGAGGTTAAATTTACATGCAATCTGCTTCAGCAGCCTGGGGTTTGTGGGTTCGGATCCTGGGCACAGCCCTACACATTATGCCATCTCATCAAGACGACCTGATGCCTACTCATTAAGACGTGCTGTGGCAGTGTCCCACAGACAAAATAGAAGAAGATTGGCAACAGATGTTAGCTCAAGGCCATTCTTCCTCACCAAATAAATAAATAAATAAAGGCATAGATATCTTAAAGAGACGCTTGGAAAATGTTATCACGGTTAGCATTGACAATTTTTAAGACTGTTCATTTGCGTCTTTTCTTCCTTCCTTCTTTCTTTCTCTTTCTGAGGGAGCCATTTGGAAAGCCAAGCCCCAGATATTGATCACAGACCTTATCAAGTTCAATAAAACACACATTTATTGAATTATTACTATGTGTTGATCACCGTGGAGGAATAAAGAGACAAATTCCTTCTCAGGATATTACAGTCCTGAGGAAGAATTAGATGAAATGACTGTTGTGCAAGGCAAAGGGAACAACCATCCTAGAGATTGACCTGCCACTGGAGCAGCCATGTCATACTGGTCTGGGGGGAGACCCTGCTTCCCATGTATTTAGCAGAGCAGTGACGAGGCCATTCATTCAAACACTGTCAGTCAACAAACACTAAGTGCTAGAATCAGAGGAATGTTGACTGAAAATACATCACGTTCCCAACTCTCGTCATTAGAAATTCCTGGTATATTAGCAGAGATGCTCACCCCATTCGGATACTTGCTATTCCCTCATTCATTCAGCTATCAAACATTTATTGAGTGCCTACTATTTTCCTAGTACTGGGATAGGTAATGGAGATACAAAGATGAGTACTTCAACGGGCTTACAGCATAACAAAGAGAGATTTGTAAATGAACATCTTACAATGTCACAGGTGCTCCTATGGAAGTTTATATAGAGCACAGGGGAACACGAAGAGGGAAGGGTAATTCCACTGGGAAGAGGTCAAAGATGCCTTCATAGAACAGTTCACCCTTGAACTAACTCTGGAAATATGAGTAACTATTTTGTCAGCAGATGGAGATGACGGTTGAGGGATGCGTGTGCAGAAAGGGATGAGATTCCAGCCATCAAAGTCGCTACCATCTTCATAGATGAGAAAGCCTTTCTAGTGTCTTGGGAACTGATTCTTGCAGCGGGTACTGGACATCATGGAGAGAAAATGCTACAGAGCTGGGCTGTGGCCACACCATGGAGGGTTTCTGTGTCTCAGGAAGAAGTTTGATTCTTTTTCCTGCAGACCCAAGGGGTGCCTCTAAGGCGGTAAGCACCTCCTCTCTCCATCCTGCAACCCATGAGCTCCCAACCCCAGGAGATACTGAGAGGCCACTCACCTTGTGACAGGGCAGCCAGTGCAGTCTTCCTGGGTTGGCCCCCAGCACTTGGCACAGGAGGCGTCACAGATCTGGCAGTGGCCATGCTCGTCAATGTATTCTCCTAGGGAACAAAATATAGCTGTTTATCTCATTTCTACATGGCAATGCTGCCTGCGCTGTCAGTCTGAGAGCAGCCAGATCTCTCTGTGGCTGCTTAAAAGGAATGGAGACAACACAGAGAGAAGAGACCTTGAATGGCTTCCGTTGCCAGTCTTGAATCCTGACCTTATAATAACAACTACTCCTCTCCCAGGGGTCCCAGAAGTTGGAACCTCAAAAAGTTGTGAGGCAATGACATAATTATGGATTTAGTCAACATGTGCTACAGATTTTATAAGTAGAAAGACGCCAAGGAGAGCTTCCCACAGGGCCCCTTTCCTAAGCTCCTACTGACTTTCCTGTTAAAGGCTGCGGGCTCTTGGCCCTCAGAGACCCCAGGTATAGCCTTGGTTCAAGTCAAACAAAAAGCAGGACCCACCCAGATCTTGTCCCACCACTCTGGGGGATGGTGGTTACTAGTCAAGAGTGGTTGAAGCTTGGCTGACATTTGACAAACGTGAGCTGCATCTCCCCATGAAAGAGTAACAATGAAGAGATAGCCAGAGAATTCTTCATTTAATTGGAAAGTTTATCTTTCCCAAGGAAAAACACATATGAGACTTTTCCACAGAAGTTAGTCCAGCTCCGCAAACTTCTTGTGAACATTTAAGAAGTTACTCCAACAGCAAAGGTGATGGAGAGAGGCCAACCTCATTGAAGGTGATAATCCAATGATGGGTCCCTACTCATGGAATTCAACCCACTACTCACATTACACTCATCCTCTCCTCCCTTTGTCTTAGAAGAAACTGACAAGTTTCTTCAGTTTCATACAAACAGCTATTTTGTTTGGTTTGGAAACTGCTCAGAAAATATAGTTTCAGATTTCAGCAGAGTCACAGCCTTCACCTGCCCGCTACCCCACACCTAACTTTCGCAGCCCTGAAAGCATGTCTCAACATTGTCAATCTGAGATCCAGCCACAGTGGTAAGGTAGCAGTTACTTGCCCATGGTTTAATCAAGCGGTCTTACTGAGGTCTAAGATTCACTGCCTGATTTATTGTAGTTGTACTGAAAAAAGCCCTGGAAGCATAGACTTGATTGGTGAGAAATGGAGGAAGTCCACCCCTCTGGCTTTTCCCATAGTTTACTGAACAAGTGCAGTTGAATAAGGTCAACCTTATATTTGTAAATCTTCCACTTGCTAGCAGTAAACCACAAAAATGAAAATGAAGAGGCAGCTAGAGTTTGTCCTTACATAGCAGAAAAAGCCTTTCATGTATGTAGAGTTATTCTATTAGTTTTGTTAACTAAAGGGGGAAAGTACATGTTAGAGCAATGCGCATATCTAACAGTGGCACACCCCACACATCCTAGACTCTGCTCTTCCGCGTCTTCCAATTGTTGCCAAGGTAGAGTGTGGACCAGGAATCTGATACGTAACTTTTAGAATAAGATTGTGGTTCTTAGCTCAGGAGCGACTCCCAGGAGCCCTAGACTCAAAAGAGTGAGTAACCAGCAGGGGCAAAGAATGCAAATGTGCAAGTTGTTCCTGCACAAGATGCAGCCCAGATGGTCAAGTGGAGGCAGAAATCAGCCCGTGTTCATCTCACTAAGCCATGCACTCTGGTGTTAGCTGCCTCTGACTCTGTAGGGGGCGCCGTTTACTAATTCACAGAAAGATGTTAGACAGTAGTTGCATTCTTGGCCATCAGCAGTGCCAAGGCAGAGAAAGGCTGAGACTTCTGTCTAGTAGGAGTGCTGATTTTAGGTTGGGATTGTCTCGCTCAATATAGGCATCATATTTATGCAGACTTCTTTTTATTTATTCGAGCTCTCCCATTCTGCCTCTTAATTATTGCCCTTGCTGTAATGTCTTCCACTTTTGCCATAGGAGGCACAGCCAGTTGAGCAGTATGATTATCAGGCCAGGCACCGGCAAGATAAAGAGCAGAAGATCCAGGGAAGACCTGGTAGGAAGATGATAGCTATGTATCTTTCAAAAAGATGTGCGCTGAGTGGAACAGGAATGGGAGAGGCTCACAGAAACTTCTAAACCCAAAGAAAGGGTATTCCAGAGAAATGTAGGATGCTAGAGAGCACAACTTATTCATTCACTCATTCCATGGGTATTTTTTGAACATCTACGTACCAGGTACAAGGTAAGATGTAGAGATATACAAATTAAAAACGTCCTACTCTTGGGTTCTCAAAGATTTTTGAGAAGGTGATTTATAAAGTGATAGTTGTAATTGAAATGCTGCGGGGTGCCTTTGACTTCCTCAGACAGTCTAGATTAAAGTTTAAAACAGAAATGTGAGGACATACACAGGACTCTGGTAGACCTAGAAGCAAAGACTATTACCTTGCCTTGGCATCTGTGCCTATAGGAACTGACGCAGTGGTTTGGTTCTCCCATCTCCTGATATCCATCCACCTTAGTCTCCGTGATGTATTAGAATCAATGCAAGGGTAGGATTTTAAACTAAATACACCTTGCTCAGCTACTTAGATGGTTCCGAGAGTTATACCATGTCCACACTCAGATCTGCTTTGTGAGTACAGATGATACATGGCTAGAGCAAGCAAGGGTTATTCAGATACTACTATGTACATTTTAAATTCTCTGTATCTCTTGTGTGCCTCCTCATTGGCTACCATAGGCCAGTAGGTGGCACTGATACCTTGGCCTTCATCTGCTCAACTATAATGGCCTCTATTCCCACCCACAAAATGCCATCTTGGATATAGTCATCACTAGGAATTGCCTCATCGCCAAGATTTCAAATACGCCCTCCAAATACAATCTCCTTATGCCCTCCTACGAGTCTACCTCACGCCAGGTGGCGCCCTAGGCTGCTTGGTCACCCTTTCATGCATCTGTCTAGCTTCCTCTTGCATTCTTCACTTAGGCTAGGCCCAACCTTCCCAAGACCTAAGTTCCACCCCTTCTACCTAATTTTCTGATCAGATACTGAGTTTCCCCAGCATCCTTTTTCTCAGTGTCAAAATTCCTCTCTGTCTTCTTGACTTTTCGCTCGTCTTCTGTCTCTGAGAAAGGAACCTCTCTTCCTGGCCGTTGTCAACTCTCCAACTAATGCTCTTAATCTTTCCTTAGGATATTTCTCCACCAGTCTCTCTGGCTTCAATCTTTTCTTGACATCTCCCATCATCCTCTGATCTACAAATTTCTCCCCAACCGAAAACCTTCCCGAGCATTTTTCTTCCCTGATAAGTGATTCTTAAAACATGTTTCTCCCTCCTAACATTTGGAAACAAAATGGAGAAAACCTCATAACCTTGGAGCTTATGTAAGAGAGTCGGCATAGGACAGCTTAACTGTGTATCTCTTTCAAGTCTGCACGCCTCTTAACTGTAGAGCAAGCTCTGGCTTTAGAACAGATGAGAATAGAAGGATCCTCCCCGATGTTCATATTTATGTAGATGTCCAATTAGTTACATAAACAACTGCCCCCAGCCCTTGCAGGCACAAGTTTTCCACTACACATCTGAAACCAAAGAAACCAGATTCCAAGGACATAGTGAAGTTGCTTTTTTTTCGGTTGTTGGAGCAGCAAATTCTTGTCATCTGTCTTCATTGCACAATGAAGCTGAATGTTTATGACAGGCGTGATATACAAAATTCTTAGAAAAAATCACTTTTAGCACAGACTTCAGGGGTCAATATTTTGTTCTCCACCTCATTCTACAAGCTCTTCTTTCTGCTGTCTTCAGTCATTATTATCACGTTCAAATTATCTTTCTCCTGTGATCAAAAATGTTTCATTCTCCTTTTAGTTTCTTTCTCATCTCCTCCTATAATAGTTCAAAGGACACTGAGGAAATAGGGGAGGAATAATGTCTCAGCAGTTGAGGACATAGCTTAAAAATGAATACTTGTAGATTTAAAAATTTACAAGTAAGTGGCTTACTCTGCTTGTTCCACCTCTTGATAACATTGCAGAACGTGTTTGTGTCGACAAGTCTGTTATAAACAAACTTTATGACGTCATCCAGAACAGGTAAACCTTTATTACATCATCCACAGCTACTAAACATGGTTGAGACCCACATAATACTATTTTTTACACTTACATGATCAGAAGAGCTTCATTTCTTCTGCAGAAATGCTATGCTTTCTTTTGTACCTTGTAGTATTTCTTTATTGATTAGAGCCAAATTTGTTGTAATATTTAAAAAAATCTATAAACTAAGTGAATTAATATGCACATAAATAGATAGATTATGATGTGAGTTCCAAACAATTTTTAGCAAGGGTGATTAAGAGAAGCAAGGGTGAGTAAGAAAAGATGGGAGGAACATTTGGTGAGACGTTAGCCATATCTGGTTATTTCCGTGAACACCCTTGGGGTACTGAATTATCTGTAGATCTTTGTTTATGTGCCATATCACTCAGATGCCAGGAATCATAGACTCTGACTTTCCTGAATGTCTCTACAACTATAGGTGCCGATCAAACAATACTATCTCTTTGTAAGGATGCCAATACCTAGTTTCCAGCTTAAGATACCACTGTGTGAAGACAGTTTTCAGGAAAAGAAATCCAGATATTTATTACTTTCCACCAACCACAAAAAGTGTTCAGTAACACTTTCAACTAGTTATATACTAATGAAATAATTCTGTTTTTAAGGCCTCATTAAGTGTGAAGTTTTATAGCAAGGCTCAAAGTGTGAGGCCATCAACTGAGATCGCAACATCTTCACTTAAAAGTCCACACAATTATTCATTCTTAAAAAGGAAGGAAATTCTGACACACGCTACAATGTGGATGAACCCTGAAAATGTTATGCTCTTAGAAATAAATCAGTCACAAAAGAACAAATATTGTATGATTCCATTTATATGAGTTACCTGGAATAGTCAAATTCAGTAGGACAGAAAGTAAAATGAAGGTTGCCAGGGGCTGGGGAGAGGGAAAATGGGGAGTCACTGCTTAATGAATAAAGTTTCCTTTGGGGGAGGTGAAAAAGTTCTGGAGATGGGTGGTGGTGATGGTT